TGTAATGTGTTAAGATAATCATGCATGCAACGCACCGCGGATCGAGAGCTTGTCCCAAGCCGAGGCGATCACGTTACGAATCCGATTATAGTGTGCGTAGCAGTATAGATTTTTATCTTAGATTAAAACAAAAAGGTAAGATACAATACGCTCATACTAGCATCAAATAAAACATGATCGACTCAACTACATAAGCAACTCTGACACGCATTTGTCTGTAGGTATATAAACATTCAATCAAGAGAACGAGACAGAACTGTATGCTTTAACGCAGCGCGAGCGAAACGGCAAGTCCGCTTCCGAGTCCGTCGCCTCCGATTCCTCCCACACAGGCCACAAACACCAACACTACACAGCTAGCAAACGTGCACACTAGCTAGCAGGTACAGGTGTGTACCTGTGCGTTTCCCCCCGCCCCCCACGACAACGGCTAACTAGAGCCGAGGTCCGAGTCTCAGAGACGCCCTCTAGTTGAGCCGACCCCCTCAGGTTCGAGTGGTCTGGAGGCTCCAGATGGAGAGGAGACTCCCCCCGTGGGGAGACGCCATCTGACTGGAATACCTCCAGAGGCACTCGCCAATTCTCGGCTTGAGGTCCCCTTAGGATCTCGCCGTCCCCAAACCCGGTGACGCTGTAAAGGTCATCTGCGAGTCTGCGACCAATAGCATACACACTCAAAAAAAAAACCGAATCTGTACGACTGAGCTGTATTGTTGTCCTTTTCTTGATAACAAAATGGCGATTACGTAAATAACATTCATGGCAAACCGTGATTTTTGAGAAAATATTTGTGTTTACAGTTTTACGAATAAAAAGTGTTGCCGAGGCATTTGTTATTTGATTTTGAACTATTTGTGTTCTTTATAAAAGTATCGATTGCATTGTTATATTTTTTTAACAGAATATACACAATATTGTTATATTGAGTGCACATGCAGCGTGTTTGAACGTTCATTTGTGACTAAAGCGAATTATGGTCGTGCACCACAATTTAAGCGGATCATTTTTGAGCCGCGAGTGCCGTAATTTCCCTTTTTGTTTTAATCTAAGCTTTTTATACCAAGAACGGCTTGGGTTGAACGATCCGTTTCCGAGTTGATATGTGTGCTATAACCTTTTATTCTATTTATATTGAAAAATCTATGTAAGCGAAGTGAAGATGAGTACTTTGTACTATTATGGTAGCCATACACACTACGAGAAATCGTTACGATTAGACTGTACCGTCCGAACAGTACAGATAAATCGTAGCGTGTATGTTATAAAACTGCACAGTTTCCTATACGTACGCCACGTACGATAAACTGTTCCGTTCGAACTGTACAGTCTGATCGTAACGATTTCTCGTAGTGTGTATGGCTACCATTAGATACTAATGAACAGATACGACGCGTCCATGTTAAAGATCATTGTTATGGTGTAACTGTATTTGGAGACTTTTGATCTGAAGAAATATGAGACTGGTTGGTTGTGTACAATATTTAGATAACTTTAAATGCAAAGATATAATTGAACCTTTGCTCTTAACATGTATTTAATCACCTTAGCACCGCATATTTTTATAAAGCTGACTGTACAATCAGCCAAATATAAAATTCTATAAAAACAGCACAGATACTTACACTCTTTTTTAAAGGTAAGGTTTACATTGACAAAGTAAATAAAACGCCACATTGTATAGCAATATTTATTCTAAAAAATCGTACTACATAATAACCTCCTCCTACAGTCTTATTCGCTAAGTAAATGCTATCAATTAACAATAATTATTATATATTTTTTTAGTTACTGCAGATTAAGTATACGTGAAGGTGGTAACTTATGTACAAAAACTTAGATGTATCTTATCGAAGTAAAGCGAAATCTCTTAAGGAGTCGCTTCATTCATGTTGTGGTACTAATGCTATATGATTTTGGCAACAATTTTAATTACATAGTGATGTCTCTTAACCTAAACTTGAATTTGACAACAGTGTATCCTCGTCATTACTTCCATTATACATTATTCTCTATACAGAATGAAAAGGAGAGACTGATGTTAAATATAGTTTTTTGTAGAGAATCAGGTTAGTATCGACACCAGTACCCTTAGCACGAACCATTATCGAATTCGAATAGTTTGCGAGTGCGAAATGCCAATGTCATATTTTGTATGGAACAGCAGCGGCACAAAGTACGTAACGAGAACTAAAAATCAGTACACATTTGACAATGACATTTCGTGTTCGTGCGTCGAGGTTCGTGCTAGGGGTACTGTATTAATAAAATACGTAAATACGGAGGAATATTTTCATAGCGAGGGTAGGTCTGGACGTCGTCACTTCTAACAAAATAAGCGATTCGGGCATTTTCCTTACTCCCAAAGTATGGAATATTTAAGTGTATCGTGATCGTATCCCTATTTACTTTGCATCGAGCATCTCGACATTTTCATTCCCAAGACGTTTAATTTGGCAATTATTCATGGAAGAAAATAATGGTTAAGTATGTACACAAACATACAAGCCGTCTACCTAGGTGGGTATATTAGGGAATCATTCGAATAAAATCGATATCGCCCAGCGTATGTGATCTGCGTGTGCGCACCGCACTAGCACTGCGGTGGTTGTCGTCTTACGAATTTTCGTATATTTGATATGTGATTAGAAAAGCTACAGTTGTGTGAATTATGACGTTTGCAAACTCCTTTGAAATACCACACAAAAATATTGTGCCGTGTTTTCTAGTGTGTCTTGGACATGAGGGACATTCGTCCGAGAGATTAAGGTAAGGCGGCTAATATATTCCTTATTTTCTGTCTGTGTGATTGTTCTTTTATACGTCTTGGGAATTCATTTTTCATTTTCAATTTCCAACCCCTAATGTTGCGGATATAGCCGGTCTCGCTACACTAAGATTTATGAGTACCTAAACATGATACATTATTTTTTTTCGATATCTGGTAAGGTACATCACTATTTTCACATTTCCTATGTATGTTGGTAGTGTGTTTTTTTATTGTGGTTGGTCCAAAAGGTTTTGGAACACATAATTTGGGACAAGAGCTAGTATGGAGGTGCTCACTCTTATGGATTACTTGGTCAGTGGGAAATTAATTTGAAACTATTTATGGTTCGTTTAAAAACCTTTTCAAGTTTAATGTAAACAGAAGCTTTAGTTCTCGATTAGATGCCGTAGCTTTTAATCAAAAGATTTTAAGGCCCAACGAATTCCTATCACTAACGGACATTCCCAATATTTAATCTCAATCCGAAAACTCCAATCTTAGATTGAATATTTAATAAATTGTTTCTTAGGCTTTCACGCACACCAATCATTAAATAAATCAAGTTGCAACGGTATAGATGCACTAATTTATTAATTTATGACGATCCTTTTCAGGCTGCGTCGTCAGAATTATTTCTGACGACGCAGCCTGAAAAGGATGCGAAACGACAAAAATTCAAACCAGTTTGATTATTGAAATGCTTTTGGCAATCTTAACATTAAATATTCATAAAACAAGTTTCAACGATATAGATGCACTGTTTTCGCATCCTTTTCAGACTGCGTCGTCAGAAATAATTCTGCTGCGTCGTCAGAATTATTTCTGAAAAGGATGCGAAACGTCATCCGTCAATGTAAACTATCTGTGGGAGGACCGATCCGCAGTTACAGATTGAAAATGGATTAAACAGTAAACTGTTTTTATCCATGGCGAATTGCGAACCTCCCTGATATTGAAACTTACAGATGGTCCATGAACAATCTAGAATTGGATTAAATCTAAGATTATAGATCGAATATTAGGATCGGCCGTAAGCTAAGGTCAAGGCTCAGGCTAAATTACTTATTTCTTTACTTAAAATATCGGTCCATGCTTTTGCTCTCAAAACGTTTGTCGAAGAAGAAATCTTTACTTGTATTTCTCATGTCATCTTCTTAACTAAACTAATTTCATTGCGTTTGAATAATGTGAAAAATACTGTACCGCGGAAGCCTTCTCGGAATTTTAGTACATACATGGTTCTCCCCGCCCCCTATCAAGGGCGGATCCAGGGGGGGGGGGGGTCATGGGGGTTATGACCCCCCCCCCTGGGCTGGGTACAGATGGACCAAACCCAGGGGGATATTTAATATACCACTTTCAATATTTAATATACCACGACTATATGACCCCCCCTGGCGCCAAAGCTGGCTATATGACCCCCCCTGGCGCCAAAGCTGGCTATATTACCCCCCCTGGCGCCAAAGCTGGATCCGCCCTTGCCCCCTATATTTATCTCTAATCGGAAATATCATTATCACAGTCAAGTTACTCAATATTAGTTGAGTTTCTATAAAAAATAAAATTTATTTCTTATCGGGGGCGGTTCGTGTGCAACTTTGCGATTAGGAAAATGCCCAACCAAAACTTAATCAACACATTAGATGATTTGGAGTGAATATAATGGATGATGATATGGTGATCTGGTAACGAAAATTCTTTCCTTTTTTTATCAATATAAAATACTTATAGCCCAAGCAAAAGAGTGAAGTCAAATAACAAAATTTTGCCATACTGTAGCTTTTTTACAGATGCTAGGGTAGGTTGTTTGAAGCTTAAGTTTAAAAATCGGCGAATGTAGGGTGGTCACATCTGGACGCCATATTGGAAAACGCATTTATCGCTTTATCTCCGGAATTATTGATTTTACGGAAAAAAATATAAAGCACTTGTTTATTTATTACTAAATTTACTAACTTTTTGGTCAAATACTTTTTTTTGTAACTCTTACCATTTTTCAATTATTATTGTTTATTTGAACATATAACAATAAACAATATAGTTCATACAGCCTTAAAATGCTATTAATGTATAAAAAACATCTTTAAAAAGTTATTTGTCATTAAATTTCCTACATCTTTTTTTATACTTTTGAATTTATGAGTCGTTAATGTGGCGCAAAAACAGGTATTGAATTGAAGTTACAGAAGTATCCGAAAAATTCACTTACTTACATCCCATCCGCCCATGATCATTTTGTTTGATTGTTATTGATTAATTGTAAAAAAACTAGACGGCGAAAAAATTTTGCATTACCATCAAATATAACCGCGGTGTTGTGTGTGTCTCTTGGGCTATTGAACTTCACACATTTGCAAATTACACATAAAGGTTACCCAACTATAGTAACCAATGATAATAACCTAATACATAACTTAGAAACACAGTAAGGGCTAATTTTGATTTCGTTGACTCTAATTTCATTTAAATACTATTTTCTTTTTACTGGGTGATGACGTGATGTTCTGGAGCATCCGTGGTAGGTGTCGCGCCATGCAGCACGTAGAAAGAGACTCGCGTTCAGTAGTACGATCTCCTGTACTTATGGCGAGCATGGTTGGCCAAGCACAGGCCAAATACTGCCGCTACCAACTGAAATGAACGAATTCAAAGATTTTATTTAAGTAAAAGGCGCAAGTGGCTAGCGCGTTCGTTGAAGTTAAGAAACTTTCGCATATCAAATTCTTTGTTTGCCATTAACAGGGTGTTAGGTACATACACTGAATTGTTGATGTTGACAAAAATATAATCGTAGATTTAAGCCTATTCAGCCATACGCTATAGCATGAAAAAGGAACATTTTCATTTATATTTGTAAAAAATAATATAATAAATAAATATTTGCAATAATAATAATAAATAAATATATGCGACGACCTCCGTGGCCGAGTGGTTTGTACGCCGGGTTTTATGGCGTCGCCGACTCGAGAGGTCCCGGGTTCGAATCCCGGTGGGGGCAGATATTTGTGTGATGAACACGAGCATTTGTACTCCAGCCATGGATGTTTAATATGTATTTCTATATAAATATGCTTATATATGTAAAGTATGTGTATTCTATCCGTTACCATCCCAGTATCCCATAACACAAGCCTTATAGTGCTTACTTTGGGGCTAGGCTAATTGGTGTGAGTGTTGGAAATATTTATTTATTTATTTTATTTATTTTTCAACGCACACCAATTAGCCTAGCTCCAAAGTAAGCACTGTAAGGCTTGTGTTATCGGATGCTAGGATAACGGATACAATACCATATACTGTACTTATATAAGTATATTTATATAGAAATATATATTAAACATCCATGACTGGAGTACAAATGCTCGTATTCATCACACAAACATTTGCCCTCACCGGGATTCGAACCCGGGACCTCTCGAGTCGGCGACATCATGAAACCCGGCGTACAAACCACTGGGCCGCGGAGGTCGTCAAAATAAAATTACAATTACAATACTTTAATATTCAATATGATAATAATCAAAAGTAATAGATGCAAAAGGTGCACTATGAAAATAATTTGCAATTTCACCTGGGTGTTAAATTTATTTTATATACAAGCGTCAGGAGGGTACCTTTTTTTTTATACGCAGGCAAAAAATACTATTTACAGACGACGGCGCCTTTAAGAGGCACACCGCCGAACGGACCTCACACCTGGCTCCCGCAAGCTTTACGAGCCCCAGCAGTGGTTGCCCACTGAGGACCCCGTAACCCTTACGGACGCTTTACGGCATAATATCTGCTAAAAACCCTGCGAACACCCTCTAAGCTGCTTAGCGCCAGGGATTTAGGATTGTGGAGGCCCCGGGCCACTTAGGATATGTATTCTTGTTAACCCATCGAAATGGTGTTATTTGTTAAGCTGTTGTGGAGGCCCCTGGGCCACAGCCCCACCTGCCCTGCCTTAAATTCGGCCCTGCGGGCAAGTACCACCCCACTCAGCCATTAAGCGATTGGGGTACCCCCTCTAAGATGGATAGTGAATTGGAAGTGCTTATCAGGACCATTTGAGATTTTGATATTTCACTGATTGCCTGATTGGAGTGAACAAATATAGATCAATGATTTATGTTATTTAAGATTGATATAATCAAATAAGCATGTATGTTAGATGTATAAAGTACTGTAGGTAAAGGTAAAAGAGCAAAAAAAAAATATCAAAGGAAAAGATGTTTACTAGTGTTTGCTAGTTGGAATTTGAAAGATTTTTTCTTCCGAAGTCTCTATTGTGGGGGCCCCCCGTTTGTGGAGGTCCCGGGGCTTTCGCCCCGGTTGCCCTCCCCTAAATCCGGCAGTGCTTAGCGCGAAGCCGCGGGAGTCATTGAGGTACCTGAATAGCGGCAACAGCGATCGCGACGAGCCCTATCACGAGGCCGAAGGTGTTAAGGAACTCCTTGACGACAGTATCGCAGCCTGGGAACGCGTTTACCACCGGCACGCACGGCGCCTGCGCGCAGCACGAGTTGGGCAGCACCGGGGACAAGTACGAAGACGGCCCGGTAGGACCGCAGCAATGGAACTGTTGACCAGATGTACAATGTTAATAGTAATAATATCATACAGTATTCTATCTTCATACAAACGGTCCGAAAGCGAGTCATACCTACGCCACTCGAGTTCGATGTGCTCTCGGCGGGCACCCAGTCGCGAATGCGCCGCCGCGCCGCAACGACGACCGAACGGTGTGAATTGTTTATTATGCAGTTAGCCGTGATTAAACGTGCGTTTTGTATTGTAAATATTTGATTGAATTAAGTAGATACCTACATAATTTAGTATGGAAAAGAACAAACGACGATCAATATCGTACAACAGCACAATTGCTGCTTTTGGTTGCTTGAACTCTTCAATAACACACCCAGAGATATCATTTTTTAAATTACCTGAAATATTGGAAAGGTGTCTTACCTTTATAGAATATTTTTATATGCCTATCTACTAGTACGTAATTTGTTTCTAATATTTAGGTATTTCGATTTTTCCATCGGGCTAAATATCTGGAATAATATATAAATAAGTGGTTAGGATGAAAAAAGAGACAAACGAGTAATCTACCTACACTCGCGTTAAAAACAAAACTACATAAAATACTTAGGTGGGCGGCCCTACCGCGTGCTAACACAGCGCTCGGTCGTAGGCATTTATTTCAAGGACAGGGCGGAGTCACAATACTGTATAGATAATATTACCGTGCTTCAGGACACATCTATGTAAACAGGGTGACATAAAAAACTCGACCAATTTCTTGAAAAGAGTTATACTAGAGGTCATTAGCAACAAATTAAGTCCAGTGAACTAGGGGTCAAAACTGGAAAGTTATCGAGTTGTTACGACGGTTTTTCGAATTTTTTAGAATGTTCCTCATTTGCTGCCAAAAACCATTAATTGTGAATAAACTACTTTTGGAAAGCTTACTAAACTGGTTCGATGTCAAACTAAATTGTACAACATATTCGATACAGTTATTTTCCAAATAACACGGCTAAGTTCGAGAACAATACAAGAAGTATAAATTATTGTTACTAAAGTCCTTTTATTTCTGAGATTGTGTAGGTTTTGGGAAAGCGTTTCTTTTTCAAATGATCACAAATTTTGAGTTTTCAGAAAATTATCAATTCAATGTTTAGAGTGGAGTAGTTTTTTCAAAATTAATGGTTTTAGGCAGTAAACTAGAAAAAATCTAAAAAAATCATAGAACCGCCACATCTCGGTATACATCCAGTTTAGGCCCTTAGTTCACTGGACTTGATTTGTTGCTAATGACTGTTAATAAGGAACAAAGCTACTTTAACAGTCGGGACCCATTATTGAAAAATATTATGTATTCTTGAATATCTAATGGGTCCCGACTGTTAAAGTAGCTTTGTTCCTTATTAATTATAGAAGAATAATTAAGCAGCCGGGATTTTTGATTTTTTTAAATTTACCTCTTTTTATTACATACGTCTTTGTACGCCGTCCGGAAAGATAGTGTAAAGGTCGGGATAGCAACAAAATTGATAGACTATGGTGATTGTTACCATCAGACATGAACCATAATATTGCTTGTTCCAGATAGGCTATATTAATCTTAATACTAGCACTTCACAAGCACAAATCTAGATTTAAGTAGACGGTGCATTTGCGTCAAATCGTATGAAATCCGAGCTTATCATATTTTGATGGCAAATTAGGCTGCGGTTGGCAGAATAAGAACCGCGGTACAAAGAAATAAAACAGCAAAAAGGAAGACGTTTGGTCGCCCTTTTGGCATGTTTTTGACACGCGAAGTACACACTCGCGGTATCTATTTCAATCAACCGTCGCGTCGTTAGCAACCTTAAATCTGCTATGTGCACTTTTTGGAGATTTCGGAATTTTTATTATTATTATTAATGAGCATTTTCATCGTTCATCTAACGGAATTTTCAAATACAAAGACTGCTTTGCGAATCTTAGTATTGTAACGGTGAACACAGGTTGCTAAAAATATGCTAAGTGCATCAGCCAGAATATTGCCAAATATTAACTGCCTTGTTTTAAAGTTATAATTTTTTGTTTTGGACGAAGTGCCAACATGTGTCATGCTCGTGAACGGGTGCTGCCAGCGGAGATGAGTCTGCCCTAACTACTTTGATATTTAAGATGTAAATGTTTAATTACACCTATTATAAATAACTCTGTTTGTATTTATACTGTGTGACACAGCAATCAAAATGCAGGTGAACAATTAATGTATAATTTCACATTACGTAATGAAAGGTGACTTCATGAATCATCTCTGAAGTCATTTTTCAACTTGACGACTCTGTAAATGACAAAACAGGGAGAAAAAAAACAGCCCTTGCTGAGTTTCTTGCCGGTTCTTCTCAGTACAAGGTCTCCCGCCGTAGATATACGAACCGATGGCGTAGCTTCTAGACATTCATATGTGCTTGTAACAGCCTAAACTGAATAAATGATTTTGATTATGATTATGATTATTACCTATATTAATAATATTTGTTATTTACCGTAGTCTCAATAGCGTGGAAGCCATTCTCGTCCGTTTTGAAGGATTGCGTGAGCCACTCGGGCACTTGCGACAACACCTTTTCCAGGCTTACGAAGATTGCCGTGGCCAGCGCTATCATGGCCACCATCAGAATCAGCATGAAGATGGAGTACTGGAAACGAAACGGTATTTTGTTAAACTTAACTTCAATTTCTTGTTCCTTTAAAATAGTGTTATCTGATTTCATACGATGGTACAGATCGAATGAGAGTTCCAATTGCATTTGGTAAATGGCAAGAAACTTTAAAATTTTAAATAAAGAAATTCCACGTGACCAGGCAGCAGATGTGACTGGAACCCGCATCCTCTGCTGATAACGGAGGGTGCGGGTTCGAGTCCCATCCTGACATTTCGAAAAAAGTCCGGACTTTTTAGTCACAAAATGGAACCATTACTCACTTCGTTACAATGGTATGGTAATTAAATCAATGTGTGCTTTAATTATTTACATTCAATGTAATTTAAAAAATCCGGGTACTTTAAAATTCCGGACAAAGTCCGGCCTATAGTCTTAAAGTCCGGACATATCCGGACGGATGGTAACCCTAAGCACAAAGGATACGACTGCATGCAAGGTCTATGCATTGATTCTTTTTAGAGTTAAATTCATTCAAATGTCGCTCAGTACCCTTAGCACGACCAGTACCAGTACCGGACCAGTATCGAATCCGAATAGCTGAATTCGATCTCGATACGTGCCAGAAGTCAATGGAAATTTGGACAGCGCCACAGCGGGCGTAACGAGAATTAAAAAAATTCCATACAAAACTTATTGACAATTCGTTTGTTTCCTCTCTTTCACACAATCAACACAGTTTTACTTGACATATGGTGGGGATCGCGTAGTCTACACTCGTGTCTATGGGTAATACTCACCGTAACCAGCATGCAGTTACTCTCCCTGATGGCACCGCAGCATCCGAAGAACGCGATCAGGAAGACGATGCCGCCCACCACCATAGCGGAGATGGGCGCAATCTGGATCTGCCCCTGGCCCATCTCGGACAGGTCTGCGATCTTGAGTTGGACCACCACGCCCAACGCCAGCAAAGTCAGCCCGGCCAACTGGAATGGAAAATATAGTGTTGTGGTTGAGCAATTGGAGAGATTATTAAGCACTGAAAGGCTTGTGTTATAAGTTGCTAGGGTAACGGACAGAAACATACATAAGTATATCTAAAGAAAATATAACTAGAAAAAATTCCACGCGGACCAGGCAGCAGACGGGACTCGAAACCGCACCCCTCGCAATCCGGGCGAATGCACTGATAATGCGAAGAGATGGCGCTGCCTTGCAGCTTAAGAATGGCTAGAAGAATTTAGACGCGATCCGTGAGGGCCGCGGTAGCATAATTGGTCAGTGCATTCGCCCGGATTGCGAAGGGTGCGGATTCGAATCCCGTCTGCTGCCTGGTCCGCGTGGATTTTATTTCTAGTTATATTTTCTTTAGATTTAAACATCAAGCAGTTACATGCTTTCAAATAATAAAAATTAGGTATAAATACATAAGTATAGTTTATCCAGAAATATATATAAACATCCATGACTACGGTACAAATACTCCAAATCATCATACTAATATTTGCCTTCACCGGAATTCGAACCTGGGATCTCGCGAGTAGACGACACCTTGAAACCCGGCGTATATACCATTCGGCCGGGAGCTCGTCAAAGGATAAATGAATTAAGATCAAAGATAATACGTGTATAAGAAATATTGAAGAAGGATCGAGGATTTTTCGCTCGAATCGCAATGCCCGTCTAGAAAACTACAGGAGCTCTATTTTTGAATCTCTCGTCTGACATAGTATCATCGAATGCGACATTAGTCACCTTCGACTTTCAAGTCGCTTAATACTGATTTTCCGTATAATCATTCGTCACCGGTGTTACCTGTTTAATATGAAATATAAAATTTTACTCAGTACACTCAGAAAAAATAAAAAAATGGGTGCGTGTACTTATGTAGGCGCGTGAGAAGTTATCCTTCTTTGGCATCGTTTAAAATTAGTTTTTAATTGCATGCAAATAATTAATTGCAATAAATTAAAAAAAGTCTGGAAAAGGACACGGTCAATAAAGTTCAGTTTTAATTTGAAAAAATAAATAAATAATCAAAATATTCAATTAAAATCGCTACTGAATATAATTTATTAGAACATATGTGATTTGCACTTGTATGAAACTCAAACACGTATTCCGAATATACAAACTAGAAACATGTGGATAAATATTATAAATATGAATACCTATAACTGTTACTTTATTACAAAAAATAAAGATGTGGTTTTTGGTTCTACTACACCAATGGTCAAGAGATGGCGCTGTAGTCTCCTGAATCGCGCTTAGGTTCCGTTGTTCCAGATTAATAAATACTTTTGATAGGCCTTCACAATGCAGTCGTTAACACCCACTAAATAGAGATTCTATTTCTATTTTGTTGGTTGATTTTCTTAATGTGCGGTAAACACAAAAGTAACCAACTTCATGCTGTTAATATTTTGTGTTACAGTGATGCGCGCGCAACTTAAAATTTCACTCTCATTATTTTTTCATAACGCGCCTAAAGAAGTATAACTTCAAAAACCGGTAATTACCACAATGAAAACCGAACAAAAAATTCTCGTTGTCATTTCATATAAAGCATGACAATGAAAGATTATCGTCGTCTAATAGCACAAAAAAATTGACAATTATTCTATCATTCGCCTCCACCATTCGCCATGCAGCGAGTGGTCTCACCCATTCGTTGCACTCGAGCGATTCAAAAATACGGAATTAATTATGTCGAATGTAATTTAGTAGAAATCGAGCGTTCGACGCAAGACGAGTGATTCAAAAATAGAGCTCCAGGTCGCGGTGCGTAACTCACCACCCGGTGAGCCTGCAACAACCCGGTGACGAAAGTGCCTTAAAGTTAAAATCAATTATCCTTTATTGAAAGGACACCCGGCATTATGTGCCAAAGTTGTATACTTTTTTTATTTTTTTATCTGTGTTTCATAATTGGGTAACGTAGTCTGGCAATATTTGTCATCAGCAGCTAGCTGTCAATGTCAAATACGTAGGATTGTAAATATAACCCCTACATGTAGCCGGGTCGTCAAGAGAAATAACGGATAAAAAGGCAATCACAGCAGAGAACGTTCACAATCACAGTACGCGGGAGCGGATGCAAAATGCGAATGATTTTTTTGTTTATATTTTAGGATTGTCAAATTGACATTTGGTTTTTTATTTAGAAAAAGCAAAGGAATCATGGTTTTTACAGTCACTTGAGTAATATTTTGAAGTAAAATTCTGTCCCTTGAAGATTTAGGGTTTCCATATCAAAAAATATTAATCATAACAAATATAATAACTTCTTTCCACGATTTACTAAAAATAAGGCAAAAGTAGTTTTATGTAGCAAATAATTTTGGCTTTATTTTGAGATCAAATTCAACTGTATACAAGTTTAGCATTTTTTCTATGAAAAGTGCCGGGTCTCCTTTGGTGCATAATGCATGCGGTCTGTGTCTGCGCTTGAAGTATACTCAGGAGGTATATAGTGCCTTCGAATACAGGTCGCGAAACTTAACTCTAGCGCTGAACAATACGCGGAGGGGATAGCTGCTAATGGGTACGACTGGAGAGCCAATCGGCGCAACGCACGCCCACCCGCGCACCTCGTTTCCCCCCAAGACATCTTAATTTTTACTTCTGCGCAATAACGGTCAATGCTAGAATTTCGCGCCGCGACTTATAACCTCCATTTATTACAATAGAGCACAGTAAAAATATATCACTACTTTTGATGGTGTTGTCTTTCTGCCGGTGAGGTCCAGGGCTCCTCGGGGTACGAGAATTTGTCAGGGTAGGCAAGAGCAATTACTCTGGTATCGCAAACGCCTTGGGCTATGGTGGAATGGTGGTGGTTGCTTAACAGCAGGAGGGAGGGCCATATATAGTCTCCTTTTAACATAAAAAAAACGACGGGTTGCATTCCGGGAGTGTCGGCAGAAGTGAAAACTTGAATATTAATATATATTGAAGTTGTGCATTTTTAATATTTTGGCATGGTTAGGGAATAATTTTGCACGAATTGCTTTAATTATCAGTATAAAAGTACTATCATGTATGTGGTGGAATACAATATTTATTTATTGCGCTATCGTACACAAACATGACAATATATATTACATTAAAAAAATCTCTCTGAAAAATCAACTTACATGAATCACGTTTAAGCGCACTTAGCGACATCTATTGCAAAGAAATCAACTTACATGAATCACATTTAAGCGCAACTAGCGACATCTATTGTAAAAAAAAGGATTTTCTTCGCAATCAAGCTGCCACTTGGACGTCCTAGATAGAGACTTATTATTATAATACGATAAAATAAAATATTACCAATATATTGAAAGTCCCAATTTTATTGTGTGTCATGATGCGAACAGCCCACGTGTTTAACCTGACCCGAGTTAAACATTTTTTACCCATACAAAAAAAAAGTGTACAACACCACTAAAGAAGTTTTCACTTCAAAAATCTGACCGATGGGCGTGCAAGCAGCGGCTAATATTGGAGATTATACTGACCATGATCACAATTTAAACGTTAACTTCAATATATAAAGATATATATTTGTGCCCTTATAAATATACAGAGAACCATATATTTAATATTACACATGAAAAAAAAACGAAGTGATCTACGAGTAATTCTGGGCTCCATAACAGGGCACTGCCTACTTAACAAGTATTTCCTAACCATACGTGTTACAGATAGCTCTCTATGGAGAGGAGGTCTGGAAGCAGATGAATATTGGAGATTACACCTTCAATCCTCTTCTATATCATACGTTCCTAACCTTTAGGAATTACGCGAGACTATATGTTATGTATAATCCATGAATATTGTTAACAATTCGTAGCTACCAAGTTGTACTATTTATGTTAACTTATATGTAAAGGGAGGAGATCGATGGAGCAAGTGGTTAGCGCGTTCGGCTGCGATCGTTGAAGTAAAGCAACTTTCGCAGTGGTCGGTCATTGGATGAGTGACCAAAAATTTACTATCTCGAGCTCCTCCGTGCTTCGGAAGGTACGTTAAGCCGTTGGTCCCGGCTGCAACTGCAGTCTTTAGCACCCACCAATCCCCACTGGGCCCTCGAGGTGGGTCATGGCCTTATCTATAGCCGATCGTTAGTAGGCAAGTGATAAGAAATGATTCATACTAAAGCTTATTTTTTTAAGAATTCATCATAAATCGTGTAAAATTATACATAGGAAACAATAAGTAATATCTTTTTTTTATATATATATAAAAATTCATAATAAATTCCTAAACTTTTTCCATGTAAAAATGGAGTCGTAAATTCGTGACACATACAGATTTCTATTTAAAGTTTGTGATTTTAAGGTCGATACGAACTTGTTTGGCGACGGTTATCTTATCATATGACTGACACAATATTATTGCACGAAAGGCTTGTCCAAGTTTTGCAATAGTGAAACAGTTATCCTGTTAATTTTCATTATTTAATGAGAAAATCGCTCCATGATCCTAAATGAAATAAAAATAAAGTATATTCAGGTTGACTTATACAAATTCTTTTGTATCGATGTTGATTAATTTTCCTGCAACGGACATTTTTGAGCTGACAAGAAGAACAGGCGCTAGAAACTTATCGAATTCAACGTAGTAGCAACGTGTAGTAGCAAGGGCGGATCCAGAGGGGGGGGGGGGGGGGTCATGTGGGTCATGACCCCCCCCTGGGCTGGGTACAGATGGACCAAACCCAGGGGGATTTTATTTAAGTACTTTCAATATTTAATATACCACGACTATATGACCCCCCCCTGGGCCAAAGCTGGCTATATGACCCCCCCCCCCCTGGGCCAAAGCTGGCTATATGACCCCCCCTGGCGCTAAAGCTGGATTCGCCCTTGACTACGAGTACAAATTATAATCGTGTGTTCAAATGCGCATGTCTGTCAGTATATTTCCACCGCGTCAGCCGCCTTTGGCTTTTTTTTATTGAGTGTGTATGCTGTTCGTCGCAGATGACCTTTACAGC